TGAATGCTAAACCCTATCTAAAACCGCTCTACAAAAACTAAAATGTTAATCTTTACAAATTCATGAATTATTTTTGGCAGACGTGACTTGAATAAAAAATATGCCTCTAGGTTAGAACCTAACCTAGAACGTGGGTATTTTGATGCTGAACAAAAAAATCAATCGCCAGCGACCTCTGGCGCAATAAGTCCCATATATTACCTTAGAGCGGACCCTTCTCAACTGGCTGTTATCAGTATATTTTCACCCAGGCTACCGTACAAGTCGAGGCGGCTACCTACCACACATTCTCCACCCTCAACAAGCAAAAACAATCCCTTTCACATTGTCAAAAGGTCCATCGAAACTGTAATCGTAAATTGGCAGATGCATAACAAGTTGGACCGAGGTTGCCAACAATTTACAGAGTCCATTCGCGGCGATCGTCGGAATTATGTTTCTGTTAGATATTTGAAAATTTGCACGTTTTTATTGTTGTTTCGTAAAGTATGGGATACCTTTGCAACGGGTTTGCTGTGGGTACAAATAGATAAGGAAATTTATTTCATAGTGTTTTGATACCATGCTTCTTTACTGCCGACTGCATGGTTAACGCGGTGTCTGGGCAACGTGTCGCGGGTACGATTCCCGCACGTAACAACTCTGTGAGATCCACAAATTGTTGTTCCAGTTCTCAGAGTGATGTGTATATAAAATTGTATGTTTGTAAACGCACTTGCGTCAGATAAGAAAATCTTAGTGAGAAACAACGTTTTCATGCTTAAAAAAAAATTAGTCTATAACTAGCTATTAGCCATTACATGAGTCAAAAGTCAAAAAAGTCAAAAATTATTTATTCCAATTAGACCTTTACAGGCACTTTTGAACGTCAAACAAAATTTTGAAGATATAGTGTCAGTCTATCGGTCAGACCTCTTAGTGAAGCTACTTGCTCGTTCCAAAGTGTAGATTCCGATGGAGAAGAACGAGCAAGAAACTCCACTCCGAGTATCTTCTAAAATGGTGATCAAGACGCAGTACAAACATATGACGAACATAGCAACAGTAGGCTCTCGGTTGGAGTAAATAAATACATTCGGATCGAAGTTACATGTGTAAGCGTAACACTGACGAAGTTACCAACTTGAGCAGATGGATTCCTGAACATCCTTCAACCCATTACCTGTCTACAATTAAAATGGTTAACTCGGAGCACTCCAAACTAAGGATCAATTAGTCGTTAATAAAGTTAACAATTCGTAACACAATTGCCTTAGTTAAAGCTACTAAGTTAATCTCCGGTTAAAGTCGTTATGTCGCTGGCAGGTTGCCAGGTAAACCACGTTTAATGATTACAACACTTCGTATTGTTACTCGTTACATTTAAAGAATTTTCTTTAATTTGTGAGACCTGTGTAGAACGAAGTACGGACTCCACTTAATGCCATTATTCTAATTACATCATTTTTTCATTTCATGAGAATAATTGTGCAAAGTTTGGTCTGCGCTGCTTTTTATTGTTACGCAAATACCAATACTTCAAAGTTTTTATCCAATGCGTATGTCTATCCGTAAAGTATAAAAGTAAGTGCATTGTTGACCTTTCCTTTACTATTTCTTAGGAACCACTAATGACATCTAGCGGCGCAGACAGGCAAACCCCCGCGGAATCTACTCACCACGCATCTTATAATTATCTAAAATGACACCGACCCTTTCATTGTACACCCTAAGAGAAACATAGTCTAATTACTCCATCATGGTGGAGTAACACATCTTCAAATAAAACCTATTAAAATTAGCATATGCCGCGCCCGACAGTAATTACATCATGCCGTTTAATTACTTCCCAACCGTTTACCGGCTTAGTAATTAAATACAGAGAAATTTTACAGTAAAACTGTCAGCATCGAAAGAACTTGTCTGTTCAGATAAATTTAGCTTCTAGAACATTGTAGGCAGTCTAAATTTGTAAGGCTGTAATGTTAGGTAATTAGTGTGATTTTATATTTTATTCGCTAAACGGCATCACAGAAAACCGGCGTGAAACCACCACAGCGTTGTTTCGCCGTGTGAGTGAGGTTACCGGATGCCCAATCCACGCACTCGAAACTCCTCTTTTGCAGGTGTCCATGGGCGGCGCTGATTGCTTACCATCAGGTAATCCGTCTGCACATAAAAAAACAAAGTGATGTTGGCTGAGATATACTTAGCCCCGACCAACTCAAGTAAAACAACGCCACAATTTGAGGTTATTTTTGTTTGATAACTCTAATTAAAAAAAATACTAAAGTGAATGGTTTTCTCCTTCGATCTATTTAAATGAGTGTCAAATAAAAACGTTCACAGTGTACTAGGCTCGCATGACATGTGAAGAGGAATGGTGATAATTGTTCTGTGGGTCACAAAACACGGCGGAGCGTTTACTTCCAGCGCATGTATTGTGTTCCGCTGAAGGCGACTGACAATGGAAACTTACCCGGAGCTCGCCGGACAACTTGAACCCAACACCGATATATTACTACTGGAAACACACCTCATTTTAAACCGTGTCTTAAAATATACTAGTTGAAAATTTAAAACATGTTTGACTATGACAACTATTCATTCAATTAGGCAGCTCTCCGATATTAAACGCTGCATAAAAATTTTATTCGATATTTTTAGTCCATGGAACTGTCCCATCCAAAGAACTTAACTTCTTGTTTCATTCTAAAATAAAAATATAGAAATATTTCAAGGCTGGTCGGCAGTTGGAGCTGCTGCTGTCTTCAGTGAAATACAATTTTCCATCTCGGGAGTGATTAGGCGCGGTAATGACTTATTACATTAGCATGTCGCCGCGGCCGGGCGCTGGGCGCAGCTCTAGATCGAGGTCAACTAGTTTACAAACTCGCTACTGTCTAGCTGTCTTAATTCAGTTCTGCTGTCGCAGCCGACCGCTGCGGCACCGCTGCGATTTGCCGACGATAAACTTGCGTTAAACTGTTGTTCACTAGAGTGGGACCGTTTAAAACGGGAACTTTTTCAATTATTCCTGTTGTAGTTTATTGGATTCGATTCGAAGCTAGCAAGTTATTTGATTTGCAAGTTCCTGCAATGCCGTTGAAAACTTGTACAACTAGTTATGAAGAGAGATTGAAGAAAATTTCTAGAGATGCTGAGATTGTCGCTAACAAAGACCTCATAACAAAAGTCGACGCTTCGAGAAGACTTTTATTCTTGAAGCGGATAGAAGTAGGTAGGAACTGCGGCACATAAATATTAACTCCGAACAACTCACATAGGTAGACAGCAGTCATACCTCGCATATTGCATATTGGTTAAAACTTGTTCAACCTACTTCACTAGTACATTGCGAACTCCACAAGTTTCATAATCACGTGTTTTTTTTATTTGCTACTTAACTTTTACAGTCCATAGTTTTTCAACTTCGCCTCAGAATGTGTCGCTATTTTAAAAGTGTATGAAACAATATTTTCCAATATTAAAACTGTATTTCGAATCGGGTCTCAACAAAAATTCGATTTAGTAACTTTTGTAAAACGTGCCAAAGTTTAGCGAAGTTTGCAACTTGTCGTCATATCGTGGGCAGAATATATGCTCGGTGCGTTCGCAGTCAAGATAAACTTTATCCTCGAGGAGCTAAAGACTACATTCGATTGATTCATACGCATTAGCCCTTGCACTTAAGAAAGATGTGATGAACATCAGTGTAAATATTTAGTCAGTCGCTTCTGACGTTCATATTTACGTTACTGTTGCTTTGAAATAATATAACATCTAAATGTGTACCAACAGATTCATTTGTGTACTTAAAATATATTTGATGTGAAATTGGTGAGATGACAGAGTAACATAATGTCGGTATCCCCGCAGTTTTGACTTTGAACTCCTCAAACAAGTAGCTATTGAAGTTACATGAAATATTTGTACCCTCGTATGAATCGTCCTTGTATAACGGCAACAAAAAGACTTCAAAAGATATTATGATAAAAGGAGCACTCTAAAGACCTTTTCCCTGTATCCAAATCCTGTCAGATTTATGTGGAATGCTTTCACGTAGTAGTCGAGGAATAACTCCAAATAAAAACAAAATAGGCCATCTTAGGGAACCGTTTTAGTAAATCATAAAACAAACAGTAATATCTGGTGAGCCGGCTCGTGTGGCCGGTGCGGCAGTGGGAGGCGTGTAGTCGTGTACTCGTGTCCGCTAGATTATGTTAAATGGGTCGGCAGTGTTTGAGATCATGATCCGACCACTTATAAAACATAGTTCGGCTGCGAGCTCCATTTACCGCTGGTCACTCTAACCGGATCGGGCCGGTTAAATCCGGTAAGTGGGTCTCGGTGCTCGAATAAATCCCCATATTATTGTTATTGCCGGCGAGGATCCCTGCCTTCTTTGTATACGACCGGACCGGACCGGCCACCCGTCGCCCGCCCGACCGTGTCCCTGTGGCTTGCTTTTGCCGCGTCTCTTGTTTTCTATTGCTATTTATTTTTCTTATTAACATAGATATGTAGCATTGCGCAGGAAAGTAAACATAATTAGAATTTATGTGATGACACAAACATCAGCATGTTGTGTACTGCAGATAGCAGTCACTCAAAATGAAGTCTTACATTGGCCGAGTCCAGTTAAACCTCAACTTCAAGGCCAAAAGAAATTGAGGAAAGGTCAAGACAAAAAATACCAAACAAAATTATTATTTTATTTGTTCTTTTAGAGTTCCAAGTTAGTTAGTTTCCTTTTTCCACAACTCCTTTACGTTAATTACAATTAAATCAAATAAAAGTACTTATATTTATCAAAAACCGTTAAGTTATATATAACAAGAGCAACTAAGAAATATATTTACGAATAGAATCTCACAAAAGACAGGTTTTCTATTGAATACTGTCATTTTGCAATGAGTTTGTAACTTTGAGCACAACATTATTGGGATGATCATATATTATTATACAAGTATTGAGGGAGCGACATAGACATTCACTTGCCAACCTTTGTTATCTTTAATTCATTTCTTTTTCTTCTTTTCTTCTTCCTCTAATCTCTTTTTGAGTGACTCTGGCATTTCAGCAGGTGGCGGACGAGGCATTTTAGTGTACACCTTGAAGGCATCGTACACGAACCACTGCAGGCCCGTGAGGGTGCCGATCATAATGATACGCGCGACAAGACCGCGCCATATACCGACGAAACCCACGTCTTTGATGATACCGCCGATGGTGGAGCCAGGCTCCTTATTCAATTTCGAGACGATCGTATCGGAGGGATGTGATACTATTGCGCACAGAACTCCTGCGATGTACCCAGCAGTGAAAGTGACTAACAATTGTTCCACCGGCGTACATTGCGCCCTGGGCTTTGGCACAACATGATTATACAAATACTCCAAAGTTTTCTCAAATGAAGCAAACTTCATCATAGTGTAGGGCACCTGTCGCCCCCACAGCGGTGGGAGTCCTTTATAGAATGTTCCCATTCCTTCCGTGCTAAGCATGTGTGGCATGGCCTTCCTCATCTGTGACGTGTACCCAGGTGTTGTCTGCATCCGCACCTTCGTGGCTTCAAGTGGCGCCAGGAAAAGATCGGCAACAAACTCGGCAGAAGCTGCAGCTGCCAAGTACAGATACGTTCTATATAAGTAAGCGCTTTCAATGTCGACCATTTTGGAATACCTGTACTTGAAGTACTCGTACCCACTGAACTTGGCAGCCCCTTGCATAGTATACCCGAAGAAAGTGGGCGCCCAGCCTTTCACGAGGTTCCGGATTCCGCCCTCCTGGTAGGAGACGACGAACCCTCTAAAGATGGACTTGTACTTGACGGGGTCTACCTGCAGCCGACACTTGACCAAGTCGAGGGGGGTCACGAAGGTGTGTGTGGTACCACACGCGACTGCACCTCCGGCTGCGCACAGGATGAAGAATTTGTTGCTGTGTATCTTACATGAAAATTCACTTTCGCCATCTTTCTTGCCCGACATTTTACAATTATTTTCTAACTATCTTTTTATAGTATTTCTGCAATCGAAAAAAAGAAACACTTTTGTCTGTACTGTAGCTACATCACGCAAAACGGAATATCTGTAAAATTTTAAAGAAAAGTTACGTCTTCGTAGAATTCAATGTTGTGATCTTGCACTGTCATTTTGTTTTGACAGAATATTTATTTTTTGATCTTGGATCTTTTTGATATGACACTATTTACACCAAAAAGAAAGTATACTTACACATATAAAGTAGTATTTATTAGAAAAATCACAGAACAGTATATTCCGTGAGAAATACATGAGCGAATGAGACAATTTGACCGAAGTGACACCATTGGTATAATCTCAGAATACCGCCCCGTAAAATAATTCTCGCTTTTGTTTGTATTTCACCGTGTGCAATCGTTATACCATCCCCATTCCCTTTAATTAAAATCAAAATTCCCTAATAACTGACAACAAGCCAGGAATGTGTTTGTTACTCCAGTGGTGTCGCGACTCTCCATGAGAGGCATTGCATTGAATTAGATAACTCTGCTCGATTGTCGACCTACCACATATAAAAGCGATGTACGAAATCACAGTACATCTCTGCTGATCAATGGTATTTTCTCACACGGAGAAGGTTTGAGTATTAACTACCACGCCAGATCATTCCCCAGAGGCGGTTTGGCGATTTTAAAATCAAAAAGTACCTTTTTCATGTCAAAGGTCGGCGAACGGATTACCTGGTGGTAAGGCATCAGCGCCGCCCATAGACAATCGCAATACTAAAAGAGTTACTAGGTACAAGTGCGTTGCCAGAACTTGTGGGGTATTTGGTAAGGATAGGGAATTTGAGGATTAGGGATGGGGAGGGGAATGTATTGGGCCTCCGGTAACCTCACTCACACAGTGAAACACAACGATGCTATGGTTGTTTCACGCCGGTTTTCTATGAGGCCTTGGTATCACTCCGGTCGTGCTGGCCCGTTCGTGCCTAAGCATGACTCTGCCACACCTACACGTTTCTACACCCTTCACCGTATGGATGTCAGTGGTGTCGAAATTACAATAGAAAATACATGTTTATCAGAAAAGGTCACATTGGTAATTTACTTGCCACACTTTGGGCAACCATAAAATTACCAATGTAACCGACAAGACGAAATCACAGTACCTACTTACAATATCAATAAAAGATCAAGGTGCAAGAACTTCCTTCCATGATACCTTTCTTGTAAAGATGAAAACAACAAATCGAATTAAAAATTTATTAATTTCGTTTTGATCCATTTCACCTTAAATCTAAGTTAAAATAAAAATAGTTCTTATAATATTCTTTACTAACACAACTAAATATTTTATATTAATTTTAATATTGTATACACATATTTACAAACAAGACTATTGCATTGGTTTTTGTACTTTTTATAGACGAGAGTAAGTGGTCCAAAGTAATAATATTATTTTTAATAATAAACCGTAAACTTTTCAGATTGTATATAAAAATAAATAGGCAAATTATTTAAAGTCTAGTCTAGTAGTCTTATATGCTACGTACAAGACAATGACGACCAAATGTTGTCCGTCTGATAACAATAAAGATATAAAAAGACCAGCATTAAAAAAATGTGTAGGGTATGGAAAATTAAATAGATTCGGTAAATAGAGTAGAAAGAACAAGAGCTTAAATAAACAATTAGTTCGCTTACGATAATGAGAATAAACTTACTCACTGGCTTTCATATCAATGGCAAATGAACTAGTGATGTATTGTTAATATTACACAATTATCGATCCTATTTCCATAACAAAACATGGTTATTACGTTGATCGGTAAAATCATCAACTAACTACGTATTATGCATTCAATCTCACACAAATTATTTAATACTGCCGACAAGGCCGAGCGAGCCGACCCGGCCCGACCCGATGGAAACATGCGGCAAATATTTTGTGGGGACGGCCATATTGAAAATTATAAAACTTTATCAAAATAATCGCAATAACCGAGTCGATTCTCACATGAACATCAAAACACAACAATTCCGTCGACACATAATATTTAGTCACACATTAAACAGAACCAGTCTATCATTTCAATGACACATCAATTAATTTCAATTGTGTAGTGAGACTTTAACGATACATTCCAATCGGTAAACCTCAGCGATATATTCGACTAATCAATTAATTTTATAATTACTTTAACAATTTACATACGAATTGGCAGTCGTTGAAGTTGGCAGTGTTATAAATAAGGAGTATATTTACAAGTCTCACTACTGGACACAAGATAGCAGTTACAGCTAGCGCCCCCTGGACCACTCGTCGACGTTTTAGTTAGACACGAGGTAAGGGAGAGAACTGACGATGTCGTCGCTCCGTTTGCGCATACGTCGTGGTGCGGGAGGGTAGCGCTGTCTGTAAGTAGTAGGCGGCGAGTGACGTGAGGGTCAGCGAGCGGAGGGCGCGACACGCACGGACACGTAGAGCCGCAGCGGCGCCGGCACGTCGGCCGCCTGCCGCCGCGCGCGCCGCCGCGCCACGCCCGTCGGCGGCGCCACGAACCGCGCCTCCAGCTCCAACTGTCTCTCCAGCACCGCCTGCAACACGACATCCGTGTAACCAACTATCCACAATACCAAGCAACATCAAGCCTAGCAAAACAAAACATCTCTAAACTGATATCAACGGCAAAACATACAATTTTATACACACACCCAGACACGGAACAACAATTTGGATCACGCAGAGTTTTTCCGTGCGGGAATCAAAACCGCGACGCGTTGTGTAGGAGCCTGTTGCGCAGCCACCGCGCCAACCGTGCAGTCAAATTGTATAATATGTATGCTTCATATTATAACCATGACTTACTTGGCTCTTGAGGTGCCTTCTCAGCCTGAGCGCCCAGGTGCCGTCTCGCTTGGAGAGCACGAAGTCCTTCTGGTCGTCTCCGTATGCGATGCGGTAGTGGGCGCGCGGGCCGGCGGCGGCGGGCAGCAGGCGCAGCAGCGGCGCGCGGCCCCACGTCTGCTGCGCCGTCGCAGACACCACGATCAGCTCCGCCTCCGGCTCCAGCAACGAGCGACGACCTGGTGAACAAACCATCACTAGATTAAACAACCAACACAGATGCCATAAAGTACACACAGGCTTATAATCTATCTATACTAATATTATAAAGATTTAAAGTTTGTAAGTTTGTATGTTGGCGGTAATCTTTGGAACCGCTGCTCAGATCGCCATAATTATTTCAAATGGAGCCGAGCAGCGGGTGAAACCGCTCGAGAATAGCTATTATCAATAAAAAAACTATTTTATATCAATTTTACATTGAACAATATTTTAAAAAACTCTGCGTATTTTTGTCAGGGCCTTTGCAATACTTACGTCGACTTCTCCTTTTCCGTTTCCGTACGATCATTGTGCCATTAGCGTATACTATCGCTTCATCCGGAGCTCTTCGTCTTCGGCCGTTCACCTTTAAAGAATATTTTACGATTAATGGTCTATAACCTACAGTAACCATGTTTAACAGATTATAAACTTAAGTGTGGAAGAGCCAAGCTTCAGCACGAACGGGTCGGCTCAACCGGAGTGATATCACAGTCTCACAGGAAACCACCTTGAAACAACCTCAGCGTTGTGTTTCGTCGTGTAAGTGAGGTTACTGGATGCCTAATCCCGCCCCTTTCCCTATCCCTTCCCAAACCTTAAATATCCGCAACTCTTATCACCAAAAGGCCGGCAACGCACTCGTAACTCGTCCATGGGCGGCGCTGATTGCTTACCATCAGGTAATCCGTCGGCTCGTTTTCCGACTTATCCCATAAAAAAATAATAGTTCTTACCTTACAACTGAAGCATCCTTCAGTAGATATCAAGTCTTTATCGCCACCAATCTTGTACTGATCGCGAACAGGGAAGACGGGGGCGTCTCCAATATCATCTGGTGGTAGGGCTCCATCCAGGGCTGTGAGACAGTGTCCCGCGCCCACGAGCTGGTACCCGGCGGGACAGCCGCACTGATACGACTCGCCGAAGGAGTTACAGCCGTATAGACAACTGGCGGTTGCACAACCACCTGCCAACTAAATGTAAAAAGAACTTTTTAAAACCTCAAGTAGTTTATTTAGAGATTTGTGTAAGGATTAGACTTACAAGATATTCAATTAGGTAGTTTCCTAGGTCAAAAATAATTCGGCGTTTCAATAAAATTAAATATTAAAAAATAACTATACTTTCATCGATCTGTCGATACTTACGCCTAATTTTCGATAATTTTAGCAAATTTTTAAGAAATAAGTAATTAATTAAGCTATTTGACGCGTAAATCATAGTATTTCTAAACTCAAGTGAAAAGTAACGTTTTTGTCATTTGTATAAAAACATTGGATTTGACTAGTTGGAAACTACCGTATAATATTCTTTAGTCCCATTTCGAAGCAGGCTTTGCTTACCTGAAGACACACTGCGTGTCCGGCATCCCAGCCGTATCCAGATGGACAGCCGCACCGGTAAGCTCCAGCCACGGCGAAGCATGGTGACGTGCCACATGGTCCTGCAGAACAAGGATCTTGTGGCACGCAGACGCCGCTTGATGATCGAGTAGTACCTGAAAAAATATTATTAAAGGCATAAAATTATATCACTGATATGGTCTCCATCAGACCTAGTGCTCACAAAATGGACAAAAATCATGTTCCGCAATGTATTGTTATTTATCAAGACCGATTCTGGACTGCGATACAATATTCGAGAAAAAAGTTAATATGTACTCATTACAGTCACACTTATGACCATTCATTGAAAAACAGAACACTCGCTTAAAAAATCTTTCAATAATTTAGCACAGCGCCATCTACATTGACAAACAAGTACTGTTTACCTACCCCAATTCATTCCAAGTCCCGCTAAAATATTGCAAAAGAGTGTGCTACTTAGTTCCAGTTTTTGACACACGTTATACAATATACAATTTATAAATTAGAAAGGTTACATTAAAAAAACGTAGTTCCACGTTAGAATTTTCTCCTGTGTCCTGTGTGCGTTTACAAACCCGAGGCGCCAACCGTGCAGTCAACATTTACCTAATTACTTCATGAAACCGTAATTCCCTGTATTTATGAGCATTTTCAATTTACTCCTCAGTAAGTGGTTGAAAAAAGTTCCCTTTTTGTTACCTGCAGGACAGTCACACCGGTATCCTCCAGCATAATTCCTGCACGGAGACTGGCAGCGTCCATCATCACATTCATCTCGATCGAGGCAGCGAGCACCCGCGATGTCCAGCCGGAACCCACGTGGACACACGCAACGGAATGAGCCCAACAGATTCACACACTTGCCAGGCGGTGGACACAAACCTTCTTCATGGCACTCGTTCACATCTGAATAGATATAATATAAATAATGGTGTTATTACTCAAATCGCTAAAATACAGTCTTAGAAATTTTATCACCATTGGAAATAATTTGTAAAACTGCTCTTATATATGTATTTATCTATAATCTGCTAAATAGCAAATAACAATCAAAGTCAAAGTCAAAAGTCAATAAACGCTATACACCACATGATATAATAGAGAACCTATCAAAACTAGCTATAATGCCCGTTTCTTTCTTTCTTTAAACATAAACGTTGCCCCACTTTAGGATTTTCTCCTGTGTTGTGGGTGCGTTTACAAACATATAATGTCACATACACATGACACCCAGACCCGAAACAACAATTTGTTTATCGAATTTGCAATATAAATTATTGCAAATGCGAATATATTTACTAAGTTAATATTTATTGCAAAAAACACTACATAAAATGTTCAAAGAAGGATAGTATAAAACAAAACTCACCAACACACGCATCGCCTCTCTTTTCATATCCATCTTGACATGAGCACTCATAAGATCCCTCAGTGTTACTACAAATCTGTTGACAAGTATGTGTTCCACGTTCACACTCGTCCACATCTCTACAGTTAGCTCCATCTTCATCCACCTCATAGCCAGTTCTGCAGAGACACTCATAGGAACCCTCCGTGTTCTTACAGAGCTGTTCGCATGGGGGCGGTCTGACGCTACACTCATCCACGTCAGCGCAAACATCGCCAGCAGCCTTATAACCACGACCACATACGCATCGGAAACTATATTCAAAAATTGAACGATTTAAACATTACGTAACAAGTGCAGCAATCCTAAAACGATTTTATTTTTTTATTGTCTTACCTGCCGATAGTGTTGACACATCTGCCCGGTGCACATAACCCTGGCATAGCAGCGCATTCATCCACATCAAACATGTCAATACCATTTCCAATTAAGCCGTGATTTTCGCCAGTAAGGCCGGGTATCATGCCCGTGCCAGGTCCTCCGATGCCTGGGCCGAGGTTGATAGGAGAGCAGAGCTCGAGTCGTTCTGGGGTGCCAGGTTGAGGACACAGCTCACATTCTGGGCCCCAAGCAACGCCAAGCGTGCAGCAACATTGAGCCCTAAAGAAAGAACCACAAGTTCATTAAATAAAAAGCATAAATTAAATATTGAACAGTCTATCTCATCATCATCTTGTGCGTTAACTTACTTGGTGACGTGTGCAGGGGGTGCAGGTGTTGACGCAATAGCACGCGGCCATGGCTCCGGCATACAGCGTCCTGATACTAATGACCTGTGGCACATGCCAGTGCGGTGATCTGTTGAACATTTACGAACATATTATATAGGGATTTATGGTGTAAGATAATTATCATATATGTTTTGAGTACTTTTCTTAGTAAAATTATATTAGAATTTCATTGAGCTATTATTTAGGTCAAGGTTTGTGATCAATTTAATAGGTAATTGACTGCTTTTTATTCTGATGACCTTGATAAAGTTTTAAATAAACTTTCTATTCAAAAATTGTTTGTTTGATCTCACTTACCGATACAAGCCATTCCATCATCACTGGGCTGGTATCCCGCGTCACAGTCGCAGACGAATCCTCCTTCGGTGTTGATACACACACCGGGAGAGCAACGGTCTGGGTCCTCTGAGCACTCGTCAATGTCCTCACAGGCGTCTGGAGCGTCATGTGGAGAAGATGTACGTCTGTACCCTGGACGAGGAAAATGGAAAGATTAAGGTTAATCCTCCAGTTCAGTAAGTAAGAAATGTAGTGGTTTAAAAAGAGTCAATTGAGTTTGATAACTTACCTTCAGGACATTTGCACATGTAAGAACCAACAACGTTTTCACAAGCATGTGGACACACTTTGTTATCCTGGGCGCACTCATCAATGTCCTTGCAATGTACTCCGTCGGGGGCGACCGCGTATCCATAGGGACACGTACAACGGAACGAACCAGCCGTGTTGTGACAACGGAATGTACACATCGCCCGTCCTTCTGCACATTCGTCTATGTCCACGCACGTCTGGAAATTAATTTATTTATGTATTTTCACGCTCTCTATTAAATGGAACATTTGGCTTTTATATATCTTGCGAACCAAAGTCGCAAGGAATATCATATTCATGTTGTCATACACGAATGAACCGTAATATTACAACCGATATAACTGAGCATTTGAAAAAATCCTTTAACGACACCAAACTAGGAAGGTCTATAGGTACTCCCTTTGGTCGAAAGGCAAACTCTAAAAATAACGAGGCATTTTCATCGTGCAGTGTTCAATGACTTTACCTGTTCAGGACCCTGCGTAAATCCAAAGTTACATCTACATTCGTATCCTCCAGGGGTATTGGTGCAGGTTCCATTGCCACAGATCCTGGGGTCGGCAGCACATTCGTCAGCGTCCACACAGACAAGGCCGGTCTCATCCAGGGTGTAGCCCGGTGGACACTCGCAGCGGAAGGAGCCGTCCGTGTTGATACAGCGACCGCCCTTACAAACGTCGGGGCGAACCTTGCACTCATCCAAGTCCTGAAAATGACAGACAGAATGATGTACACATCAACATATTTAACATAACTCATTATTTTCTCTCAATATCTTAATTAGTAATAAAGCACCTAGTCGAGTTTTCTTCATCTTAACGCGATCGAATTGTTAATTAAGCCCGCTGATTGGTTGGGTAATTGGAGCCGACCAATCAGAGAGCCGAACGATATAAACCCATTGAACGTCTTAAAATATAGCAAACTTGCACTAGGCGAGGAACAGGGGGTTTTCGAACTTACTTGAGTAAGATTTGGTCGGCCCATTCCACCTTGACAAATTCTTAGGAATTCAGGAGAATCTGGAGCCGGACAACGTTCACAGTATCTACCCCAAGCAGCACCTGATGGTGGAAAAAGCGTATTTATATAAATGCTGGTTATAAACCTTTATATCGTATGCCTTTTTATCGTCATCGGTAACTGGGATCACCAGTTAAAGTAGGACTGTGGAGTTAGTTACCTTCAGAACAACAACACTCGGGTCTTCCGAGCTGTAGAGGTCTAGCTCGGTGGCACCGGCCAGAGTCCCATTCATCATAACAGAGTTCTTTTCGTTCGTCCACACAGATAGCAGCCGCTTTGTCAAATCTCCAACCGGGAGGACAGTCGCATACGTAACTGGAGAATAAATTATTACAATATTAGAATGACTAACCAATTTTGATCTTTATTTTAATACGCGATATGGTTTTGATTTGTTACTCACCCGCCGTTGAAGTTCCTGCACTCGCCGCCAGCACAAACGTACTGAATCTCTTTGCACTCGTCTCGGTCTACGCACCGTCTACCTACAAGTCTCCATCCAGCGCCGCATGAACATTCGTATCTAAAACGAATTAATTGAATATAAGTTCCAAAAGATATAATTATGTACTTATGGCTTTGGAAACATCATAAGGCTTAGTTACTGACCCTCCATTAGTGTTGGTGCAAGAAGGTGACCCATCTCTACCACAAGGGTGTGGGAGCTCAGAGCATTCGTCGACATCCCGGCAATGGCGGGCGTCGGCCGTCAGCGCGTAACCAGGTGCACACTCACATCGAAACGATCCCACTGTGTTACGGCATCTACCGTTGCGGCACACCATGCCACCTTCGCGACACTCGTTGATATCTGTGTAAATAAAATATAGTTTAAAAAATATTTTGCTAATATAAATACTTTTTGAATTATAATACCTATTCGCCATTTTTGTCAGATGTCGTAAAATAAAGTCACTAAGATTAAGACCGCACTTTCATATAAAATTATAATCCAAGCTTTCACATCTTCTTGTGCTTTTTAAGGGAAAATTACTCCAAAAAATTATTTGTTTACCCAAAATTAATCATTATCATTGATCACGACATGTTTGATATGACGCTCGGCAGTCAAGTTAAGGGTTAAAGTTCTGCGCCAAAAGTATTTGTACTTACGCATTAATTTCCTCTCCAACATTTGGCGACCACTTACTAATTTTCGTGTTCGATTAAAATTTAAAGTACAAGAATTACGAGTGTCAAAGTATTTTATGGTATTAATTTTATGTAACCCCTTTTTTGTATTTTGCTAACCTAACTTCATCATTATCATCAACCTGATGTCGTCCACTGCTGGACATAGGCCTCAACAATTGCACGCCACTGAGCTCGTCACGTCTAGGCAAACGTAGTGTAGGGCGCCCTCCAGCTAGGTGGACTGACGACATCCGCAGGGCGGTTGGATGAGAAGAGCTGAACATCGAGCTCAGTGGCGTGCAATTTGGGAGGCTTAACCTAACTTAACTAAAAAAAACTTACCGATACAATCATTGTTGGCACCGGGTTTGAATCCGTCATCGCAGTGGCACATGTAGGACCCAGGCAAGTTCTCGCACGTGCCATTGCGGCACATGGGCCGAGGACGAGAGCATTCGTCTACATCACGGCATACGTTGTCCCTCAGTGTGTATCCAGGTTTACAGTCACATCTGTAGAGAAACGAGATAATTTTAAATAGTACATTTACATTGATAGACCTTTCGTAATTACACCTTCACAGCTTTTATTGTAAACTGTAAAATCAATAATTATTCAATTCTATTACCTGTAAGATCCAATTGTGTTCCTACACTCGCCATGTTCACAAAGTCTCTCGTCTGCGCACTCATCAACATCTTCGCACTCATCGAGTGAGGCTGTGAGCCTGTAGCCTGGTGGACAGCGGCACTCGTACGCCCCCGGCAGGTTCACGCACTGAGCCAGGCCTCGGCATGGAGTGCGATGCAATGCACACTCGTCGATGTCTCGACATAAGTGTGATGTGTTATCGTGCTCATACCTAGAAAAAGTTATATAGTTAGCACCTTGTGTTTTTCAATGATTTGATATATCATCATCATCAGCCGAAACATTTTCATGTGATAGTGCTAACGACCTGACAGATTACCAGATGGTTACGGATGGTTGGTTGGGTAAATGGTTTCGGAGATTTAAGGATAAGGGAAGGGGAAGAATTGAACCTCCGGAACCTCACTGACACGGCAAAGCAAAACGCTGTATTGTTTTAGTGCAGTTCAGTCGGTTTTCAGTAAAGCCGTGGTATGACTCCGGTCGAGCGGACCCATTCGTGCCTTAAAAAGCTTGGTATTAGTTAATTATAATGCTTCTGAAAATTATTCTTACCCATGATCACATCCACATTGGAATCCAGTCGGTGTGTCGTGACAAGTACCAGGTTTGCATAACTGTGGCATGATGTCACACTCATTAATCGGTTTTGTCTCATTGGTCATAGGATTGATGTACTCTCCTGGTTTCTCGCCACAGAGCGCCATGTGTTCATGAGATCCCTTGTCAGGACAGGGCTCGCATGGTGCTCCCCAAGCTTTACCGACGGAGCAACAGCAAAGGTACTTAGTTTGTGGTACACCGGCAGCGCCAGTGCATCGACCAGTGTCTGGTTCCCAGTCCATGTAACATTGACGTTGACGAACATCCACACATTCCTCTGAAAAAATAAAATTAAGGTTAATAAGTGAACAAATTAATGAAGTTCTAAGGTAAGGTTAGCCTTAACTTTCGAATCAACTCATACTCACTTCCATTAGGCATGGCCACATAACCCTCGGGACACAGGCACACATAGGATCCCTGCATGTTTCTGCAGATACCAGGACCGCAAATGTCAGGCCTGGCACACTCGTCGATGTCTTCACAGCGCTGCTCATCTTGGGTGAGCTGCCAGCCGTCACCGCACGTACACACGAAAGATCCGAAGGTGTTGGTACATGTGCCATGCTCGCAGAGGGCTGGGTGTTGGGCGCATTCATCGATATCAGCTAGAGTTACGACGTATGAAGGCTGAAACAGAAAATTATAAAAAGAGTTTAGAAATGATTATACAAAGGCCTTTAAAATTTTAGTTTAATTCTGTAGTCTACGTTTGTAGTTAAACTTACAGGTTCAAGAACAGGTTGGTATCCTGGACCACCGGGACATAGTTGTCTATAAGCTTCAGATCCAGGCTCTGGACACAGGTCGCAGTAGTTGCCCCAAGCAGCACCTGAAACACAGAATTAGTACTTAACACACGAAGAACTGACTTTGAGAATACCTGGTCTGCCTTCTATGATTTATAACACTTACCAACAGAACAACAGCAGGCCGCCATAGTGCCATCTTCTGACAGCTCATCACTATCCCGACAATGTTCAGTGCCAGATTTCAGGTCCACTTTACCGTAACAGCGTGCCTTTCTTGAATCTGGAATGAATCATTTAACAATCAGTTGATAACGTAATTTTCACATAAGCCCAAGTTTTGCTGCATATATTAATTCATTTTTAATTAAAAATCTACCCAAAACTTATTATACCTGCCTACTCTCAGAAACCTTAATTAATTTCCTCTTTTGAATTACCTATTTAAAGTTTAAAATCTTCATGACTTTGGGGACAGTGATCTTTATAATAACTTACCGTAGCAAGCAGTTCCATCAGAGACCAGTTCGTAGTTCGGTGGACACCGGCAGATGTAAGACCCTTGCGTGTTGATGCACTGACCATACTGACAAGATTGTGGTGATTTGCACTCGTCCACATCGGTACAGTTGAAACCAGGCATCACTGCAAAGAAATAAAAAATCATATGAATTTATCATAAGGTTGCTTTTTTGTGGAGGAAAATCATCAAGTGTCAGACTCTCACTGACTAAATCCCTCCCCCCTCCCCGTTCCTTCACCTTCTTTATACCGAGGCTGCGGTACAGTATCTAACCCCGCAACCATGACTGGCTATTCTTGTTGGCGATGGGATTATTTCTAAAAGTATACTTACAGTCATCGATGCTGTCCGATTGGTATCCCTTGTCGCAGATACATTTGAACATGCCGTAGGTATTGACACAACGACCGAATACGCATACATTGTCGAATGTTGCACACTCGTCCATATCTGTAACAATCAAAACGATTAATTACACAGTGCAAAAAATATCTATTCTATCATCACTGAGGAATATATATTTGCAACCAGTTTTTATTGATCTAAACGTCTCAACAAGTACTTACCAAGGCAGGACCTTCCATCAGGAGACTTGGTGAAGCCGACGTCACAGTCGCACTCATATCCACCGGGTGTGTTGGTGCAGTGTCCATTCTCACACAGGGTGGGGTCGTTGGCACACTCGTCGATGTCCACGCAAGAGTAGCTGAAATAATTATTGTGAGACACATAAACGAAAACACTCAACCAGTCCTTATCGAGCTTTTGTAAAATTTCAAAGTATTCGATCCCAGGAAGATATAACTGCAGAGTAACAACTTCTTGCAGCAATTCAGACAAAATATACAAAAAGCATAAAGAGTATAACTTACCCATCGCCTTTGTATCCAGTATCACAGAGACACATGAAGGAACCGTCAGTGTTGGTGCAAGTGGCACGCGGATGGCAGCCACCATTGTTGGTGAGACACTCATCAATATCTTCACATTCAGTTCCATCTCCTCGCCATCCGTCACGACAGCGGCATTGGAAGGAACCCTGAAGGAAAATATTTCATATTTAATTAACTTATGAATATTAAAGATTACATAAAAAAAAACCAGTTGTCATCAAGATGGTTAATTTTCTTTTAGGACTTCTGAGTCTTTCTGTTAATTAATTCCCTTATACTAAGGTTAGCTAGACCCTGGAATGACACCATTTTGAATCGTAATGCATAAGGCAAATGGGGCAACAACACCTTTCGTATTAGCCAGTCATCTTGACATTATAACTGCACAATCCAAATTGTTAGTAACTGAGTGCAAAGACAAATATAACGCTTCTATCATACTCACGGGTAAATTAATACAATCAGCAGCAGGATGACAGTCGCAGGTGCCGAGTTCACATTCATCATCATCAGTACAGGCTGGGCCTTGCTCCGGCTTCACACTGTAGCCATCAGGACAGCGGCACACGAAGCTACCGATCGTGTTATGACATTCGCCAGCTCCGCACAGATCTGGAACCTAAATAAAAAAATCGTTAAGAATAATAATAGTAAAAGAGACAAAACCAAAAAATTAAGGAAAGTATAAAAATAAGCTTCCTTACGTCAGCACACTCGTCGATATCCTGGCACGTTGGTTTAGATCCGTCAGGTGACGGTAGCAGTCCATCGGAGCAAGTACAGACATAAGATCCAGGAGTGTTTCTGCACTCTCCACCACCACAGGGACGAGCACCTTTACCACATTCATCGATGTCACGACATGTACGACCATCAGCACGGAGATGCCAGCCATCCCTGTAAAACGGAAACTTATTCATAAGTGTTTACCTATCATCATCAAGGTGATCAAGTAATCCCAAATGAAAATATAGAGCATGGGATTTCGGGACTTTTAACGTGGTCAGGCAAAGAATTTTTGGATCTATAGGCTCACCTATATAAATATAGGTATATCAGTTGCCCCTTCGGAGAGCAAAAATTGTTTTTTGTAATATCAAATGACTCCTATACATTATTGGTTATCAGCATACCTGCAAGTACAATGGTAAGATCCAGGCGTATTGACACACTCGTGCTGACATCTGGTGGGATCCTCGGTACACTCATCAATGTCCTCACAATGGGATTTGACAGTAGACTGCGCGTAACCTTCATCGCACACGCACTGGTATGTACCCATGAGATTTTCACAAGCACCGTTGCTGCAGATACCTGGAAAGGTACAAAAGGCATATTCATAAGTTTACATACTTACATACGAATACGGATGTAATATAAATAACCTTAAGTATAAAAATGAAGCATAATAAAAACAATTTACCCGAAGTGATAGAACATTCATCCACGTCTTTGCAGGACAGTCTATCAGGAGCCAATTCCATACCAGGTCCACATTCACAACGGAATGACCCTGGAGTATTAATGCAGCGACCACCACGACACAAGCCTCGGGTTTCAGCGCATTCGTCAATATCTGGAAGAAAATCCAATTATTAACCATCTCTCCAAGCAGACCATCGGTTAACATTTATGATTCACCTTATTTACTTACCAACGCATACTTTAGAGAAGTCATCAGCTTTGTGGCCTGGATGACAGTGGCAGGTGAAGCTACCCTCAGTGTTACGGCACTCACCAGCACCACATACTCCGTCCACTATCTCACACTCGTTTACATCAACACACGTGTGGTTCTTTGAATCCTAAAATGAAAAGCACAGACGCCTTTTCAAAACCTCTTTGTTATAAATACAAATATTTAGAAATTGTCTTCTAGAAAGAACAAAGTAAGTGCTAGACGTTTTACAGTACTTCAGTACAATCAAAAAATGTTTTGTTATTAACAAACCTTCTCATAACCAGGGAAACAGTCGCAAGTGAAGGTACCGACGAGGTTCCTACAGCGTCCATGTCCACAAAGCCCTGGGAATGCGGCACACTCATTGACCTCCATCTGTCCTGGTATCACTCCGGGTCCACCTTTATGCCAACTATCTCCAGTTATGTTCCCCCAGTTATCTTCTCCTCCGGTTCCCCAATCATAGTCACCAGCACCTCCACCACCACCTCCAGAGCTGCCACCATGACCGTTACCACCTCCCCAGATGGCAGTTCCATTACCAGACGTATCTCCGGGACGATCCCAGATAGTAGGAGAATGGCCAGTACCCTCAGCAATGCATAGGTTACGATATGCGTCCGTCCCTGTAGAAACGAAGGTATTAAGTAACTCATAAAGACATCTTTCAATTTACTAAGAATATTTTACCGTCTTACCCTTTTTAGGACACGCTTCGCATCTATGATCACCCCAGGCTTTTCCAAGTGAAGAACAGCAACAAACAGCTCTGAGTACTTCAATCTGAAGTGGGTTGGAGCAACGTCCACCAATGAAGTCTGTGTAGCAATACTCTCGGCGAGTGTCCACACAGCGGTTGCCTAGAAGTATGGGAAACGTTCAAATAATTTAAGGCACACATCAGTTATAACATTTTAATCTCCTATTAAGTAATAATACCGACCAGTGGTATCAAGTGCAAGTCCCGGTGGACACTCGCATCTGTAGGAGCCGTCTGTGTTGATACACGTGCCGCCGATGCACAGCTCCGAGTCAAGCTGGCACTCATCCACATCACGACATGTTGCACCATCCAACTGATGATAAATATTGTATTAATTGAAGGTCAGAAGAAAAATGTAAGTACTGACAAAGTTTAGAGGCATCATAAAACACATACTTTAGCAAATCCTTTAGGACAAGGACAGTGATCGACTTCACAAGGTTCACAGGGAGAGCCCCAAGCCAAACCCACGCTGCAGCAGCACTCTTGGCGCAGTAGTGGCCTGAGAGCTGCAGCTTCACACTGACCGTCCACCACTCGACGCCAACAAGAACCACGGCGGTTATCTGTAAGAGAACAGCACATTATTTACTTACAGTAACTAAAATGTCCTAATACCGTTTTGAATTCAAATTATTATAGTATCTTACCAATGCAATGTTGTGCAGTAGCATCGAGAACAAATCCATTTTCACATTCGCATTCGTAGCTACCGTGCGAGTTGATGCAGCGGCCGTTGTCACAAGGATTCGATTGCTCTATAAAATTGTAATCAATATTAAACACAGTTCCGAAAACGTCACAGGACTTCAATAAACCATTCAACTAGTTAAACCATATTCCAATTTTGTATTAAAAGAAAAATAAAACGTTAAAGTAACCATCCAATTTTGTATTAACCAATTCAGTTTTAAATCATCCCTAGTAAGTAAGATGACATTCACAGGCAATTTTTAAATGATTCCACATCATGAACAATTCCTTGAAATACCCGTCTCAAAAATATCAATTAAATTATTTCAGTTATATTATCGTGAAGAATTAAGCAGTGCAATGAGTTCGAATTGCGTGAAATTAATGTTCAATTATAAATATCAGTATCCATACAACGGATGGTAGATGACCAAGCTCGGATGTTGGTCAAATGATGGTAGTCCAGGGTTAGAATGTCCGATGGATGGAACATTATGATGTGTTGACTTGTCACACAAAGGTTGGTAACCTGTTCCGACGGGGATCATAGGGGGAATGTCTCCCCGATCGTATTCCTTGACGATGAAAAGAGTCTCACCCTCGCATTCGTCTATGTCTCTGCAGATTTGTTCGTCGGGTTCGTAACGAGTTCCCGACGGGCATACGCACGTGAAGCTACCCAGAGTGTTGCGGCACTGGCCGCCCGTACAATACTGAAACGAAACAAGATTGCCATCAACCGATACACTTCACCCTCATTTGCTGTTACTACAAAAAAAACGAGTTCTGTACTTACAGACTGGTGCATATCACATTCGTCAATATCCCTACAGATCCCATCAGCATCAGGATGGAACCCAGGGTCGCAGATACACTTGTAGCCTGGTTCCAAGTTCTCGCAGGTTCCGTGAGGACAGATGCCCGGGATCATCGTACACTCGTTGATGTCAGCTCCTCCATTGTCCTTGCTGGCACCTTCAGGGCAGAGGATGTCATACTCCTTGCTTCCATGTTCAGGACACTGTTTGCAAGCAACACCCCAACCTAATTTGAGACCTAGAAAACAAAGGGAATTTAAAATAATAATCCTCAGGTTGTTCATTCAAGATAATTAGTAAACTGAGTTTGTTTACTTACCTTTGCTAGAACTGCAACAACACTGAGATCTTGTGACTGGATTCTGACCCGGTAGAGTGCAATGTCCTTCTTCATATTTCTCATAACACAAGTCTTGAACCTCGTCTGTAAATAAGATATTGAAAATTGTAGTGTCATTTTGAAATAGCACCATAACACTTATGTAGGGTATGCATAATTTTCTGTATGATCAATTAACTCTCTTACCAAGACAAGTTCTTCCATCGTTACTAAGAGTAAACCCGGGTAAACACTCGCATCTGAACGAGCCGGGCGTGTTGTGACAACGCCCATTCCTACAGACTCGTTGCTCGGAACATTCGTTGACATCGATACAGGCACCTCGGTCAGGGGTCGGACGGTATCCTGCCTCGCATACACACTGGAATGATCCTTCGCTGTTCACACAGCGACCACCCTGAGAAGAAAGTAAAATTTGATTTGCTTCAATAATATGACACAATCATAAATACAAACTCAATGAGACGAAAACAAAAAAAAATGTAAACTTATAAATGTACTTATGTACAAACCTGGCAGACACTCTTGTCAGCACATTCATCGATGTCCGTGCAGTATCCACCAGCAGTGATGGAGAAGCCAGGCTCACACTCGCACTCATACGACCCTGGAGTGTTGCGACACCGACCGCGGCGACAGACGCGAGGGTTGTCACGGCACTCGTCCACGTCACGACACGCGTGGCCTGTCTCTGTCGACTCGTAGCCAGGGTTGCACACACATTCAAATCTGATAGAACATTTTTTATGAGTTAAACAAACAATATATTAAATAAAAAAGTATGTGTTATATTTGAGTTCTACTTACCCTCCATCACTATTTCTGCATACTCCATTAGTACACATGCCACCGTGTGTAGATTCACATTCGTTTTTATCGCTACATCTCAGTCCACCCTCAATCGGATCGAAACCAGGAGGACATCTGTTAAAATTACAAAATGCCTTACAATGTTTTCTCCCACAACAGAATAAAAAAATCAAGCAAAGTAAAGTTAAATCAAGTTAAATCGTACCTGCATTCAAAACCACCGGGTTTGTTGACACAAGTACCTCCTTTACAATATTCGAGAGCACATTCGTCGATATCGATACAGGTCGGGTTACCATCCTGCACCACTGACTCAGCTCCATCCCAACAATCACACTGGTATCTGAAAAAAACATGACAACACAAGTCAGAGAACTAATACTTAAAAGATCTCAATCAGCTAATTTCTACACTACGACGAAAATAAAAATTATGAGAGTGCCATACTTCGGCACGAATAGGGCGGCTCAACGGGATAGGTACCACGGCCTTACAAAATACCGGCTTGAAACAACAGTTGCGTTGTGTCAGAATAACGTTACCGGAGGCCCAGTCCTGCTCCTGCTCCAACCTAAATCCCTAAATTCCCTCTCCTTCAATCTCTAATAATCCACAAAAGGCTGGCTACGCACTTGTAGTAACATCTTTAGTATTACAAGTGCCCATTACCGCCATCTTGAAGGATAAGAAAAATGAAAACTCACCCAATATCCTTATCCACGCAGGTACCTAGACCGCAGATGCCGTTCCTAAGCATGCACTCATTGATCTTGGCAATCGCTGGAGGTTCGTAAGAACCACCAGAGCCATCATCCTCCCCGCCACCACCAGTTACATTGCGGCGCCAGTTCGGTGGGATCACACCACCACCACAAAGGTGAGTCCATTCAGCTGTAAAACGGGAAGAATATTTTAAATTTTATAGAATTGCCGATTGATGCTAAGATAAACAACAGAACTACTTTTCGGAGATTTTTATTCATGAACCTTTGGTAGGCTTTGCCAATAATAGTCTGCTAGTTTCAAATGCTTTCCCAAGCAAAGGTGCTATAAGAGATTTAATAGTTATACTCACTGGATCCTCTAGGGGGACAGGGAGTACACATGTCACCCCAGGCTCTTCCCATGTTGTAACCGCAGCAACAGTCACGGTTGGACAGCGGCATCGGTAAGCGGTCGGCACATTCACCGGTCTCACTCATGTATGTGAAACAGCTGCCCACTCTACCATCTGTATGGAACACATAGCATGATTAATTAAGAGTAGCCTACTAAAACAACTTTCTGGTGATAAAAAAGTCACACACTGAAATTTCAACACAAAAGAATTCACGAACACGTCACACCATGACACAGAACAACAGTTTCTGGATTAATGTAAATACTTGGTCCGTGCGCGAATCCAAACCGCATCAACTGTGCATAGAAATTATAGAAAATTGTATTAATAAACTGACTTACCTATACAGAATTTCTTGTCTGGACTAGGAATGAAATGAGGGTTGCAGAGACAGTAGTAGTCGCCTTCTGTGTTCACACATTTGCCGTTCTGTAATGAACAGTATAGCGTTATAAAGGAACACGGACATAAAAAATTCACACAAGTTCCTAACTAACTTTATGTGATCTCAAAGACCAGAATAAGCTACATCTAGTTAAGCGTGCACAACGTCGACTGCGTCATCGCTCACCATCGTCCATCAGATGAGAGTAGGAGTGAGCCTATTAACTACGTAAAACTACGCAGCAACCTTACCAATATTTCCCTCACCGGCCGAAGCTATTGAAAAATATTCATCAAAATACTAATTTTCCAGTAAAATTATTACTAAGTTGTGAATTTAAATATCATAACTTACGGGACAAATATCAGGGTCTTCACACTCGTCGATATCCTCACAGTTATTGGTCACCCTGTGACGTCTCTGCCCTGGTGGACACTCGCAGGAAAATGAACCAATTGAATTGATACACCGACCACCTTGACACAATCCTGGGACAGCTGCACATTCGTCTATATCCTGAGGAATAGAACAAAGAAAAACCGTTGTAGAAATGCCAAATAATTATTAAAAGGAGAAAAAAATCATATCATATCTTTTGTCGTCTTAATAAACTCTTTGATGGATTAATCTTCTTACCTGGCACTCCTTAGTAGCTAAGTTTCTAAGATGTCCCTGAGGACAGTCGAGATCCCCACAGCGCTCACAGGGGTGTCCCCAGGCTACACCAACAGTCGCACAACACAGCTGTTTCGTACACACTACACCTTCGAGAGCTCCCGTGCACAGAGCTCCTCGAGTGTCCGTGTAACAAGGACCTGTAAAAAGCGCAGACAAAAATTAGACCAGGATTCATGCAGGTTACTTATGTCTGTTAAAAAAAACTAATGGCCAACCCAACAAATTTATAGAGACCTCAGTAAAAAAGGTACACTCATCCTTGGAACTCACCAGTTCGTCTATCGATCTCACACCTCGTCCCTGAGAGTCCATGGAAACAGACACATCTGTCCGGAGCTATACATCTGCCACCATGTAAACACGGCTCCCGACAAATGGCTGGAAATACGACACAATACATTATTATCAAACATTCAAAATGACTTTATAAATATTAACTTCCCAAAGACTTAAGCTGAAAAGTTCACTTACGTTCTGTACAAAATTCTCCGCTCCAGCCAGGTGCACAGGAACAAGTTCCATTTGAGCAAGTACCGCCATTCATACAGATTCGGCGACAACCACCCGGCGTCCGAACTGCAAACAATAGAGTCTTGAGTGACTAACTTAAACCCAAAAAAAATATATTGTCCTCCTAGCCATGACAACATTAACAATCATAAAATTATACAACATATCTACATTAAAAATTGAAAAATGAATGGATTTTGACAAAGAAGTTCTTTGCCTAAACATTAGTGTTACACTGTTTTCACATATCAGAACCGGCTAAATGATGTAAAAAAGAAATGAATTCTAAAACTGATTTTAAAAGAGTATCCATGGAGTTTCTTGCTCGTTCTTCTCCATAGAAATCTACACTTAGGAACTTATGACGTTCAAAAGTGCCTGCTGTCTATTAAGTGGTCTATTTGAATTTTGACTTAGAAGTTTGTGGAAAGCGAACTTGGGTCACCTCGCGGTGGTTACCCCACCAGAGCCATATCAACAATTAACACGACATTTAGTAGAAGCAGAAGTGTCCAAATTAAAGGAATGTATTACCTGGATACGGATACAGTCCACCTCCTCCACAAGATGGCGCCTCTACTCCTCCAGCACATCGACACATGTTTGGAGCTACACATGCTCCTGGAGAACCGCAATCAGGGCGGCATACAGCTGAAAATTATTCATAGTATTTTATGTAACTACCATACTCATAATATTAAGTGACTTAAAAAAACAGTAGTAAAACCTCTCGAAGACTAGATATTGGAAGCAAATAAAATACTGTGACAGAAAACTCTTTGACATCATGACGTCAATGGATGGTTGTCAAACGTTGCCTAGAGATTGTAAATTTCGTCGTGAATTGTCAACACGAGTTGGTGTAATCGGTAAGGCGTGTGGATTACACCACAGAGACCCCGAGTTCGAGTCCCGCCGTAAACATGAAGTTTTTTAGTTGATGGAAGTTTTGTCGAACTTTCTGGAATATTTGAGTGAAAGTAATGAAAAATTAAGGAGCGAGAAGGAGAATAAATAAAAATGAATAACGAAATTATTGGAAGGTTCTGGAGGCATGACGATCAAAAAGAATAACGAAATTGAATGTTCTAGAACCTGACCGGGGGTATATAACCGGAACTGCGGCTCACCGCTAGCAGTTGAGTTCTAAGTCTAAAGCGATTCGGAAGAAAAGGAAGAAGTGAGAAAGAAGAAAAGTGAGTGAAATAGTGAAGTGCAGTGAAATAGTGAAGTGCAGTCAGTAAGTGAGTTAAGTCAGCGTGAACGGCAAAGTTGTGTCAGTCGGCCGGACTCTGCTGGAGAGGAACGCCGATAACTTAACTCCGTGGACGCTGTAACTTAAGTGCAATAGAAAGTTTGAAAACCGGTATTAGTGTTTCATTTCATCCAATCCCGTAACCCAAGCCCGCATAGTCAGGAACGTGACGTCAGGCACGTAACATTTGGTGTCAGAAGTGGGATTGGAGAAAAATGCCGCTAGTGCCGCAGGACGTAAGAGGAGTGAGTACCCGTGCTATGTCAGAAGCGCAGCGTGTGAGGGAAGAGGGTGCTGCAGCTCAGACCAGCGATGCAGAAGCCAAGCCTGTGCAGATGGATCTTCTGCTACAGCTGCGGCAAATGATGGCAGAACAGCTGCGTGAGCTGAAAGAAGATCAAGCGCGCCGCCAAGAAGAGCAAGCACGCTGTCAGGCAGAACAGCTGCGGGAGCTGAAAGAAGATCAAGCGCGCCGCCAAGAAGAGCAAGCGCGCCGCCAAGAAGAGCAAGCGCGCCGCCAAGAAGAGCAAGCGCGCCGCCAAGAAGAGCAAGCACGCTGTCAGTCAGAACAGCTGCGGGAGCTGAAAGAAGATCAAGCTCGTCGCCAAGAGGAGCAAGCGCGTCGCTTGGAGGACATGCATAAAGATTTCACGAAGGGACTGCAAAAGGCTGTCAAACGGGTACAAGAAGTGGAGGAAGGGTTAGGCAAGTTGAAACTTCGCGTCATGGCGATAGAGGAGAGACTGGAAGAAGAGATCTCCAAAATCAAGCAGGAAGTGACAAACCCAAGCCCTTTGAAGAGCCGAAGCCGTCTTGCAGCCGTTTTTGACGCCCCAAATGCGGCCTTAAGCGCAACGAAAGGGCTCAAGATTCCCCATTACGACGGAACAACATCCTGGACTGCGTTCAAGCTACAGTTTGAGACACTTATGGAGGCTTATGGTTGGACTCAGAAGGAAGCACAGTCAGCCCTTACCCTGGCCCTCCGTGATCAAGCGCTCTCAGTGCTGGAAGCTATCGGCGCAAGTGGGGATCTCAGCTTTAGTGCCCTCCTCGACGCACTTGAAGCACGTTTTGGAGACAGCCACCTCGAGCACGTGTACAGAGCGCAATTAAAAGAGCGTACTCAGCGTGCTAATGAGAGCCTACAGCAATGGTCCGTGGAAATCGAGAAACTTGTACGTCGAGCTTTCCGGTCGACTCCGTCAATGATTGAAGGCACGCTTCTCCAAGCGTTCATTGACGGTATTCGGGAACCAGAAGTACGAGCTGCTGTTCATCTGGGCCATCACAAGATCATGAAAGAAGCTCTGGCCCATGCATTGGAAGTGGAAGCCGTGCGTGGCAACTCCCGTACCTTACGTCTGCGGGAAATGACGACAACGGAGCAGGTACCTCCACGCCGTCGGAACTTCATGTGCTATGGATGTGGAGAGCGTGGGCACATACGGAGCGACTGCCCGAAGAAGATGAACCGCAAGGACGCGGCGGTCTCAACTTCTGACCAGCAGGGAAACTTAAATCCAGCCAGGGCTGCGGGGTGGGCGCCGGCTGGTAGTGGAACAACCCCAACAATCTACATCAAGCAAACCAACGATGGAAATACTCTGGTGATAGACGGTCAAGTAAATGGGAAAAACAGTCAGCTAACATTAGATACTGGAGCTTCAAGGACGGTGATAAATGTTCGGCTGCTCGAGCACAACATCAGGAAACACCTTAAACCAATTGTTGGCCTACAAATGAAATCAGCTACCGGCCAGTGCATACCGATAAGTGGAAAACTGCATGTAACAATCAAAATTGGGGAACGTGTTTATCGACATGAGGTTATTGTGGCCAAAATTCTGGATGACTGCATCCTGGGACTTGACTTCCTGCAAGGGCACCAGTGTAACATCGACCTAAAATCTGGAGTATTACTATGTGGAACTGAGGAAATTCCGATGAAGGGTGGAACCCTGGGAAAAGTTTGCTGTTTAAGAAGAACTGTTCTTGCACCAAAATCACAGACTCTCGTACCAATTGCATTACCTAGGAGGAGGGAAGGAAGTTTACCTCGAAGGTGCGCTGTGATTGATAAATCGGAACACGTAAACTCATGGCTACCGGCAAGAACTGTCGTGGGGTCATCTGATGTTAACCGCATTCCGGTATTCAACTTCAGTGATTCAGAAATTACGATTGAAGAAGGAGAGCCTGTGGGCGTATTGGAAGAAGTGGCCTGGATAAGAAAATGCTCGGAAAATCTTGTGAAGAAGGACAGTACGGGAATAGACTTTGTAACGAAAATCTTAGACGAAAACAAAAGTCTGACAAAAGTGGAGACTATGAAAGCTAGAAATTTACTTCTTCGATTCTCTGATGTGTTTTCAAGAAGCGATGGTGATATTGGCCGAACTGGTTTGGTGAAGCATAAAATAAACACAGGTGATACAATGCCAATTCGTCAAAGGCCCAGACGTATACCATTCGCTCGTGAGAAAGAGGTTGAAGAAATGATTGACGATATGAGGAAAAATGACGTGATAGAGCCCTCTTCTAGCCCTTGGTGTTCACCTGTCGTGCTTGTCAAGAAGAAAGATGGTTCAACGAGGTTTTGCGTAGACTATCGACGATTGAATGATGTAACCAAGAAGGATAGCTACCCGTTACCAAGAATCGATGACACACTTGACACACTGAGTGGCATGAAATGGTTTTCAACGCTCGATCTGAAAAGCGGCTATTGGCAGGTGGATTTGGATCCCAAGGACAAGGAAAAGACCGCATTCTCAACTGGGAAGGGACTCTGGCAATTTAAGGTGATGCCATTTGGATTATGCAATGCACCGGCAACCTTTGAGCGTTTGATGGAACAGGTGCTGGTGGGACTGCTGGGCGAAACCTGCCTAGTTTACCTCGATGACATCATCATTGTTGGACGGGATTTTGACGATCATCTAAGGAAATTGGAAAAGGTACTCGACAAGCTGCGTGGAGCAAATTTAAAGTTGAGTCCAAAAAAATGCTCTTTCTTCAAGCGCGAAGTGAATTATCTAGGACATGTTATTTCTGAGAGAGGAATTGAGACTGATCCAGCCAAGACTGTCGCTGTTAAGGAATGGCCAACACCTAAAGACAAAACGCAAGTTCGGGCATTTCTTGGATTGTGCTCGTATTATCGGCGGTTTGTGAAAGGATTCTCGGACATTGCCAAGCCATTGCATCGATTGACAGAGGAGAAACGTGCCTTTATCTGGGACGAGGATTGTGAGCAAGCCTTTCGAGAACTAAAAGAACGGCTTTGTAACACACCAATTCTCGGATACCCCAGCGCGAAAGGAATATTCGTAGTTGATACGGATGCCAGCAATATTGGAATAGGAGGTGTCCTTTCACAACGCGATGGTGAGCAGGAGAAGGTTATTGCTTACTTCAGCAAGTCACTATCCAAGCCGGAGAGGAATTATTGCGTGACCAGGAGGGAATTGCTGGCCGTAGTCAAAACTCTGCACCATTTCAAGAAGTATTTACTGGGACGGAAATTTTTGATCAGAACTGATCACGCTGCTTTGAAATGGCTGCTTCAGTTTAAGGATCCCGAAGGCCAAGTAGCCAGATGGTTGGAACAACTTCAGGAATTTGACTTTGATATCGAACATCGCGGAGGAAGAATTCATGGCAACGCAGATGCATTATCGAGACGCCCATGCGTGGAAGATTGCAAGCATTGTGCCAAGAAGGAAACTGCTTTTCTTAAGGTGATAAGGACTGATACTGTTGACGAGGCATGGGGAGATGATGCGATGAAATTAGAACAGGAAAGAGATGCAGATATTAAACCAATACTGGAGTGGGTACGAAGTGGTAACAAGCCAAGTTGGAGTGACGTCGCCCAATATAGCGCGGTAACGAAAGGTTTATGGGCACAGTGGAAAAGCCTTACGCTGCATAACGGACTTCTGTGCAGGAAATGGGAATCAACAAACGGCAAGGACGAGCATTTGCAATTGGTGGTGCCTCGTTCAAAAATAAGGGATGTATTAAAAGCGTTCCATGATGGATCTTCTGGAGGACATTTGGGAATTAGGAGGACTTTGGTGAAGATCAAGGAGAGGTTTTATTGGTTGCATTGCAAATATGACGTCGAAGATTGGTGCCGGAAATGCACTAGTTGTGCAGCTGTCAAGGGTCCACAAACAAGAAGCAGAGGGGCGATGAAAATCTACAATGTTGGTATGCCTTGGGAGAGAATAGCCTTAGACATCGCTGGACCATTTCCAATCACTGATTCGGGCAATCGCTACGTTTTAGTGGTTATGGATTATTTTACAAAATGGCCGGAGGTCTTTGCCATACCGAATCAAGAGGCAGTAACTGTAGCCACGAAGTTGGTAAACGAGGTATTCATCCGATTCGGAGTGCCCTTGGAGATGCACAGTGATCAAGGACGGAACTTTGAATCCCAAGTTTTCCAGGAAACTTGTAAACTTTTGGGAATCCATAAGACTCGAACGACCCCTTATCATCCACAGTCAGATGGAATGGTCGAACGCTTCAACCAAACATTGGAGCGACACTTAGCAAAGGTGGTTGACAGCCATCAGAGAGATTGGGACACTTACATACCTCTCTTCTTGCTTGCCTATCGGACTGCTGTACATGAAAGTACCGCAAAGACGCCTGCATTTGCAAATTTTGGAAGGGAATTGAGATTACCGGCAGATCTTGTATCGGGCTGTCCACCTGGTGACTCTCGCACCGAGTTTAGCGATTACATAAGCGAGTTAAGGGCAAAAATGTTGGACATTTATGAGCAGATCAGGGAGGCCGGTCTTCAAGCTAGTGATCGCGCAAAGACGCGCTATGATCGACGAGCCAATTCTGTTGGGTTTGAAGAGGGGTCATTGGTCTGGCTTCATAATCCAGTCAGAAGGAAGGGAAAATCTCCAAAGCTGCAACCGAGTTGGGAAGGTCCTTACGAGATAGTCACGAAGATCAATGACATTACTTACAGAATTCGGAAGTCTTCAAGGAGCCCTTTGAAAGTTGTCCATATAGACAGGTTGGCGAGGTATTACGGCAGCAACGATGCTCGGGACGAGCGAATCTAAGAGGGGGGCAGTGTGACAGAAAACTCTTTGACATCATGACGTCAATGGATGGTTGTCAAACGTTGCCTAGAGATTGTAAATTTCGTCGTGAATTGTCAACACGAGTTGGTGTAATCGGTAAGGCGTATGGATTACACCACAGAGACCCCGAGTTCGAGTCCCGCCGTAAACATGAAGTTTTTTAGTTGATGGAAGTTTTGTCGAACTTTCTGGAATATTTGAGTGAAAGTAATGAAAAATTAAGGAGCGAGAAGGAGAATAAATAAAAATGAATAACGAAATTATTGGAAGGTTCCGGAGGCATGACGATCAAAAAGAATAACGAAATTGAATGTTCTAGAACCTGACCGGGGGTATATAACCGGAACTGCGGCTCACCGCTAGCAGTTGAGTTCTAAGTCTAAAGCGATTCGGAAGAAAAGGAAGAAGTGAGAAAGAAGAAAAGTGAGTGAAATAGTGAAGTGCAGTGAAATAGTGAAGTGCAGTCAGTAAGTGAGTTAAGTCAGCGTGAACGGCAAAGTTGTGTCAGTCGGCCGGACTCTGCTGGAGAGGAACGCCGATAACTTAACTCCGTGGACGCTGTAACTTAAGTGCAATAGAAAGTTTGAAAACCGGTATTAGTGTTTCATTTCATCCAATCCCGTAACCCAAGCCCGCATAGTCAGGAACGTGACGTCAGGCACGTAACAATACGCTTAATATACTTACGGACTATACAAAGTAAAGAGTTGGGTCTGGACGTCCATCCAGGACAGCAATGCGTGCTGTTGCGAGATCTGCACACGTGTGGGCTGCAACAACACAAAGCTTAGATAAATCACAACTTAAATACTTAATACAACATCACAGTATTGAGACTGAGAAAGGCAAATTTTCGTTATGACCAGGTAACCTAAAAATATTATATTCTGAGATGTTTACATTTCTGCATTTTATACTTAAAACGCAAAAACATCAACAAGCTTGGCCCCACGGAGGAATATAAAATGTTACCTTCACATCAACAATGCAGATTTCAGCTGGTTTTGTATGAAAACTAACGAGAAGTGCTCATTAAAGTCAGACAGGTGTTGTTTAAGTCAGATTTATTATCCATCGTAAACCCACAGCTTCGCATTATATGGAAATTTGCAACTTTTTCACTACTACTACTGTGCGATGTTATAGAGATTGTAAAGCCCCAACCACCTTTGTTTCTTACTCGAGCATTTTCTCTTCCCTGGTTTTAACTAAACATACTGCCTTATATTCCTCTGCGCATCCAAACTGAATCCGAAAATTGATACCTACCCACCAACAGCACCTACCAAAGGACTTGATATGGGCCCTAAATCCACTGACTGATACCTAAAATTATAACCAAAAAATACTACACCGAGAAATATAAAGAGAATTTTAGATGCGGTTGCAGTTTTATTGAATGTCAAACTCATTGTCAACAGATTCAATTACCACTTGGGAACAAATTCGTCTTGTGACAATTACGTAATGCTTAATAGAGGAGCTTATGAGAGATGATTTCAATAACCTTGCTCCACAGCCGACCGTATCTAAGTTGCACCGAATAGATTCTCCTCGCTTGTTTAAAGTAGACTAATTCGTTCTAGGGTCAGAGAGTATCGCGAGTCCTTACGCTGAAAACCTTGTATCGAAATCGAGATTTAGTGCAGTATTGCACTCAATTATATTATCTGTTTTGCTAAATATTGGCTTATCATTCAAGAGCATTGCGGTCATTTAGACAATTAATTTTTAATATTAATATTTAATAAAATGCCTAAAATAATTATCTTTTTTCGGTTTTATTGATTAAGTAACCAATATTGACTCCTATTCACAGTAGCGTTACTTTTGTAATTATAATCATTTCTTATCGGTTAGTTACCTAATAAGGAACAACCATTGTAGTTTGAAAGCTTATAATTATACAAGTACACATGCTTAAACGTCACTATGTATATCTAAAAGAGTACAAAATGTAAAAAAAAGAACAAAGCTTGGTAAAGGATTTGTTAACATGAGTGAGTTGTGAGCTATATTCAAACTATGTGGGGTCATTTCAAACAGCACAAACAATAGGATATTGGCGTTTCCAATATATCAAGTAACTGTTACCTCATCTTAGAATCATATCATCATAGCAATAAATTGATATACTCTTTTATTTATAGTTCATAATCTGTAAACTGAATTTATAATCTACTAATGATCATCTTTATCGCTTAACCTCTGTTAATGTCATTCCCACTTTATGTAACAACTTTTTCATTAATTACTCCTGTACCGGCTTTACCGACTTTAGTACATACCATTTGGACACATTATTTATTTTTGTTGTAATAAAATATTTCGCCTTGCTTATGAAGTACTCCACTCTGCTCTGCCACAGCATTAACATCCTTATTATCTTTATCAATAACATCTAATTCACTATCCATACTATTACGCATATCGTCTTCAACTTTTACATATATTATATCTTGAAGATTTTCATCACCAAGAGACTTATCATCCTTGCATCAGTTGATTGCATCAACGACCTTGGTGCTGGAACCTGGTTCGTCATAACCTGTCCTAGTGAACTCGTCGTTGGTTCCGCTATTGCCCTCTGCCCGACTCCCGAAATTATAAGCGTGAAAATCACCTACGCGCCGCCGCCCACGGTGAGTGTATCATGTATTATGTTACTGGAGAAATATTGTGAAAGAATAATGTTGTTTGTGATATGAAAGACAGGCGTAACCCATTTTCGTGGACGCTAAAATAGGATATAAAAAATCCTCAACAAAAAAATGTGATTATTTGAAAAAGTTTGTTTTTGAAAACTGCTTATAAAATTCCGTTGAACGACGAAGAAGCAGTTTGACATCAGACCCATCCAATGGACGTTAAAATGCTCTCTTTATCTAGTAATTAAATCAGGAGAGTGATGTAGACTTTCGAAAAATACTGGAAATATTTCTATCTTGGAATTATCATTTGGCTGCTAGATCAGAGGCTGTAGCCGGTGCCTTGTAAGAATGTATGTAATGTATGTAAGCCACGTGAAGCTTAAGGATGGGAATAGCGCATACGATTATAAAACCGTACAGTGTGAACTACCGAGATTTATATCAAACCGTCAGACGCATGCGCAATGCGCCACACGTACGGTTCCAAGGACCAAGGAACGATGCACCTCTGATTAAAATGTATTTACATCACATTCCTTTACTTTGATGGTTAGCGCGATTGATTATACAATTTTAGTATATTATATTATCCTACGAAGTTGATATTATTTATGTATAGATTAGACAGAGATATAGCTTTAAGGCATCGCCCTTTGGTTACAAATACATGGATCAAAGGACCAAAAATAATGTATTTGTAATTTTATAATTTTTATTTCATTGCCCTTAATGAATTTTACTAAATTATATTTAAATTTGATTTACTTTTCTTAAGATGGACGCATTCTGACTGACGACTGACCCTTTTGTCCAGTGGGCCTAGTGCATATGCAGATGATTAGGTAGAACTCGGGAGTCAATTAAAGTTTTTTTTTGCATATGAAACTGCTCCAGCTTTAAATAAGTTCTAACTTACCCAACGAACTGGTTAGGTTTGCGCTCTGAGAGAGTGCGCGATGCGCGGGGCCACAAGCGCGGCGGGCGTGTGGGCTGCGGGGCGCGCGCGTCGGCCGCGGCGACGTGTGCGTACGCGCACAACACTACCACTGCCGCCACGAGCCGCCACATTGTCATCTTGGAACCATCACCCTGTACCAACACAAACATTACAATTTTAAAAGTAATATCCAATCAATCTAATAAAAGAAAACGAAGTTAACTATTTTGTTTTAAGTAAAACGGACTATTTTCGGATCCAAGGTTCAACATAAGCTAGCACCTATTATAAATGGCATACTCTTTACATTAGATAACAGTTCAGAGTTTGTGAATGGACACTCTGTTATCATATTGACAAAATTGTTATGAATGACAGTTACAAAGTTAGTTAGTTACGAATATAAAAAAGGAAGATAACTCCTAACACCGGATAAGATATCGCAACTGACAATAGTATTAGCGATATATACATACATATATTCATTATATAACCGCTAATAAATAAAACAGAAGTGTCAAGCCTTCAATACAGTAACCTTATAAATCTTAATAAACAAACATTAATTGGGGCAAAGATTACGTGGTCGCAGTTATCAGTAACTGCATTGATAATTAAATGTTTACACAATAAAACGCACATTCTGAAGTCAGTGCCAAAAACATTTTTTAAGATACAACAATAGCTATTTCTGAGCTTGATAACGAATTATTCAATTGAAATTTGTAGCGTGAAGTAAGTAATAATATTATTGAGTATAACATTCATTACTTGAATGGATTTGATGACATGGTAGAATATAATTTTTCACCTGTCAAAATAGACATAGTTTGACCAAGACCGGGCCTCTAAAATATTAGAATCTTCTGAACTGTGATCTTCATTACGCCTGTTAAATGTTGAGATTATGACCATACATACATACATACATGGCCTTTTTGGAAAAGCCTAGAGTCTAGACCAACAGAGATTTTACATAAGCTTTGATTCTCATTAAGAAATATTTAAGAAAGAATTACATCCTTAAAACTTAGAAGCTGAATAATGAGAACGATAGAGTATTAGCCATTGTCAACGTTGACAGAATTCCTCGTACATGTCTACAATGTGATATATTACAATTTATAGCAAATTTATCATGTGACCCGTTCAAGATGTGTCATATAAAAATATGACATACGGACATTAAAAACAATTCAATAATTTAGGTTAACTTTGTTATCACGGACAACTCTGAATGTAATACCGACATACTGTGAGTGATGCAGTTTGGCGGATACTTTATTTGGTAATTTGTGTAATTGTACATCAATTACGTACGTATTCTAGAAAGAATGTAAATTCATTAATGTTTTCACGTGTTGAACTTTTATCAAAGACCTCTTTTAATAGTAGTCTCTTCTATCTGTCACATCTTACCACGATTTCAAATAGAGGCCAAAGTATGATTACTTAGATCATGTGATAAAAGCAAACAAGAAATTATGTCTGATACATCTAGGAAGACAAGGCATTACGGGATTAAGACAGAAAACGTAATTATGCATTTTCAATAAAAAAAGACTCATTATCTCAGCACAACGTTTTACTAAAAAATCTAGTTTAAGCGAAAATCAAAACTGATAAAAATTCAAAAGGAGGTTTGAATACAAAAAGACAGAACACGACGCGAAAGAGTCGCAAGCGGCGCGCACAGATGTCGCTGGGAGCGGGGCGGGATCAAGCAATCTGTGCCGAAATGATAACGAGGGCCGTCGACCGCGCACGCATCGCAATCACAATCTGTAGCTATAATTAGTAAAAATTCTTCAACAGCTTTGTTCTACTAGTGACGTCATTTGTTAGTTAAAGCAACAACCTTACGTTAGTTGTGAACTAATTTGTAAAGCTGTATGCCCATTGAATGGATCGGTGGCAGTTTACTTAGTACGAGCGATGCTCTACATCCATTGACGCTTACAAAACAACGCTATTTACAATATTACGGTGTTTTAAATGTAATAACTCGGCGTTGTATGCTTTGTTACAATATACAGAACCGATAATTATTAGACGCACTGTGGATTCTTATGATGTAAATCGTGCTTATTTTCATGTTCAGGTTTACTTTTGTGGTTATTGGCTTTGATAATACTTTTAGGTGGCATTGTACTAAGCGGGCAGTAACGAGTCGAAGTTGGGCGCCCATCAGCATCAATGGCATGAGTCATGCGGTGTGAATGCCGCCGCCCACGGATCCGTCTTCCTTGCTTACTACATGGCCATTCGCCGGCCACACGCTGGATATCATACTAATCATACGTGACGAATTTCACAACGAACGAACAGAACTAGATACTATCGCAAATGCACGAAGATCCTGCATTACAAAAGAAAACCACACATTACTGCCTAATTTTCATATTCTTAAGATCTTTTTTATAAAAATAATTACGTGAGTTAGTTATAATATTATTATCTCACATTCTTAGTTATTTCGTAATAATTTCAATAGCATCTAATTATTTACTATTTCAATTAAGCCCACGATATCAAATTACCCTCCGATTGAACCGCTCGTGATTTACCGATCCTTGATGTGTACCGTTAGACGCTGACCCACATACACTCCCGTCAAATCATCCGAATCCTAAGTAAACATGCTTCTCATCCTGAATGGAAATAAATGAACTTTCACATTACATTGTGATCTTTATACAAATAATACTCAATAGGAGTTTGGATAAGAAAAAATATAACTCTGATGAAGAATTTATTATGTTACGCATTTGAATGAATGACTCAAAGACTAGTACCAGTAGATAAAACAGACAATGATTTAGTTTCCATATCCAAAACCCAAGCAAAGCATAACAAGAGAGTTCATAAATCGAATCCTAGACTAGACGTAGGCTAGGTGTGGTCCTTTCTCCCAGACCACACAAAGCTAGCCATTGTGTAGTTTCAGAGTTAGAGCTTCGCATTATTTCTGAGAACATAGCCCGTTATAATATTATTAAGAACACTTATTAGTACGGCCGATTTATGTTGATCACAATTGGCTATTACCACCAATGTTGACAATGGGACAACCGCACCTTGATATGTTAAATAGCACTTAAACTTACGACGAACATTAATATCAATGGACAGTATGGACACGCTATTCTGATCAATGACCGGGTTAAATATATGCTTTAGTACAATTCTGTTCATAAGCGCTGATTTCACGCCCTTTGAAGCAATTGATCTTTAATTGGCGAATGTTTATTTACGCGCGGAAACAAGGACCACGCTTCGAAGAAATTTAGATATTGCAGAGACGAGAAGTGGTGTGAACTGGTAAAAAAAACTTTCTTGTGTTTTTTTTTCTTTCTTGAACTTACTTTGTTATTTAGTCGTTGCTTCGACCAAAATAAAAAGCCATAGGGAGCCAATGTCATGAAAATCGAGGTACACAATTATTCCCATAACAATGCTAAGTAAATTCCAAAACACTTTTTCCTTTTACATTTTCATGGTTACAGTTTTAGAATATTAGTTTAACAGAACCTATCCAAACATTCGTAATCGTCCTTGACCAGGTCCAAATCAAGGCATCAGGCAATCAGTGTCAAGTATCACGCAAATAGTGTGTACGGTCAACAAACGCAATGATCAACGATGATGCGTTTAACGTTACGGTCAGGAGGAAACGTCGGCACGCGCTTAGATCAATATAGGAGGGAGGGAGGACCAAATTATAGGCGACGGCGATGCTGATTGACTGATGAGTGTTAAATGGAATTGTTGATACATATAATAAAAAGAAGGAAGATTGTAAATAACATGATCAAAATCTTAATTTTTTGTTTAATATTTTTAATTTTTAATTCAAAGAAATATACCGTCTTTATGTTTTCTAAAAGAACTTTTATTAAACGCTAACATAGTCAGAAATTACTTAGTAACGTTAGGTTAAGCCTCATGTAAAGAGGCCTAAAATAACATGAGTGTTTTATATTTCGATGGATAGAACAATACCAGATAAAAGATACTTCAAACTTTACTAAGCAACAGTTTTATTCTTTTTCCAAAACAGAAAATCTCGCTCTCGCTTCTACCTTACATCGATTCCTTAAAGTGGAGCGAGTGCCCCCAATTGAGGGGTTATTAACGCACGCCGCGGCACTATGCGCCCGCGCCGACTTCTAACGATCCGATGCTACAAACAAACGCAACTGACGCCCAGTGCACTTACATCGTTTAACTTAACTTGCCTACATCTTCAAGTGACTCGTATAAACAGAAGGGGTCAGCCCAAAGGCTCTGCTGGTAGACAATGTCATTATTAAGTCCAACTTTGAATTCTTTATACCAATGTATACCACACTATATGATTTTGCCTGTGTCGTTTGTATATGCACCCCATGTACAAATGTAAAATTTCACATATACATCACGCCCCGACCCGGAACAACAATTTGTGGATCACACAAAGAGCGGTACCGTGCGGAAATCGAACCCGCGACACCTTGCATCGCAACCAGTGGTCCAGCCACCGCGCCAACCGACCCAACAAATAAACTCTATATTTAAATCTTTAGAAAAAACTAATGTCATATTCAGGTCGATTGAAAACCATTGTTTCATATTTCACCAACTATAATCGATAACAATAATAAATAAGATTTATCTTGGCATATAATATAATATAAGTACTAAGTTTTCTGTTAATACCTATGTAGTTTGATTAGTAACACACTCAATAAAGCATGAAGGCCGGTCTAGACTAGGTAAGCCTAAGCCTTTTAAGTCACGTGCTGCTGAAACCTACAGTCACTAATAAATGGAGAACGCATGTTAATTATAGTCAACTAAGATACTTTACTACCGACTATGATACCTGTAAACGAGAGAGTTAACTATATCCTCTGGATAAATGAGAAATTTAATATGCACCATAAAAAATGAATGAATTATCCAAGTTTTTTGCCGATTCTTTACAACGAGTCGTAATGTCTAACTATACTAAAAGATTGTCCAAAATTAAGTCTGAAAAGAATTAATCGTAACTTCGTGGACAACGTTCGAAACGACCGAAATCTACTTAGAATAAAAAATCTTTTAATATATTAAAAAAACTGTATCCAATACGTCATAAGTACGAACGGCATTATTTTTATCAAGGGGT